ACAGTCCTGCCATTGAACGGTGCTTACTCAGCCATGCACCTGGAACTTAACAAAGTAAAACAGAGTTCACTTTTTAAACCAATAGAGACTGTGTGTGTTCCTCGCACCGGCTCAGAAATGTGTTTTAATTTGAATAAACACAAATATAACAGAAGGACAGCAGTTAGACGGTCCAACTCAGGAAATCTAATTCCAATTCTTTGTAGTCAATCAACTAAACCCACTGACACTGACATTATTTTTAACCTTGCTCTGCTTAATGTCAGATCACTATGCAATAAATCCTTTTTAATTAATAATTTTATCTGTTCTTATGATCTTGACTTTATGTTTATGACTGAAACTTGGCTTGACCATAATACAGAAAATGCAGTTTTAATAGAAACAACACCACCAAATTTCAAATTTGAATCAGAAATTCGAGAAAATAAAAGAGGAGGAGGCACAGCAGCAGTTTTTAAAGATTGTATTGTCTCCCATAGAGTACCTCTTGGGAAATTTTCCTCATTTGAGTATGTCTCTTTTAAAATAGAACAAAAACAATCTTCTATTCTTATTATTGTTGTGTACAAGCCGCCACAGTCATGTCATAGTTTCACTGATCATTTCACCGAGTTGCTTTCAGTTGTGTGCACAGACTTTGATAGTTTAGTCGTCATAGGTGATTTTAATATACATGTAGATAACGTTAATGATAGATACGCGAAAGAGCTGAGCTCTGTGCTGGAAACCTTTGGTCTCACTCAGCATGTGAGTGGCCCCACCCATAGCAGAGGACACACTCTCGATCTGCTAATTACTAAAGGGGTTAATATCTCAAATGTAAATGTGGCCAATGTTGCTCTGTCAGATCATTTCTGTGTATTTTTTGATATGTGTCTCAATAGTAAAGCACGAGCTGAATCCTCAATTGTTAGAAGAAGAAGACACATAAACAAAAATACAGGTGAACTTTTCATGGGGATGATAAACTTTGATGACACGTTGTGTTCTACGGTGGATGAATTACTTAACTCTGTCACCTCTAGTGTTTTGGATGTTCTGGACACGATTGCTCCTGTAAAGGTCAAAATTGTTACAAATAAGCAAAAGGCGCCATGGACAAAAGCAGACTCTGTCAGGGCACAGAAGAGAGAGTGCCGGAGAGCCGAGCGGAAGTGGCGAAAGTCAAATCTCCAAGTTGACCATGAGATCTTCAAAGATGCATTGTGCAAGTTCAACAGTGTGCTACGTAGAACGAGGGAAACTTATTTTTCCGAAACAATCGAAGGTTGTAGTGGCAATCTACGCGTTCTGTTCTCAACGGTAAATAAATTGACAAATCCCCCTGTTAAGATGCCATCAGAGCTTACCTCCAAAACCAAATGTAATGAGTTTGCAGAGTTTTTTAATGACAAAGTCCAAGGCATCAAAAATGCCATCACCTCCACAGTAGAAATTACAATCCAACAGCCAGTGAAGCTTTTTGGGCTGACACACTTTACACCAGTACAAAATGAAACTGTCCAAATGATAATTACAAGTCTGAGTTCTTCTACATGTAGCCTGGATGTATTACCTCCTAGATTTCTTAAATCTGTTCTGAGCAGTCTTTTACCTTCACTCACGCATATAGTAAATATGTCTCTTGAATCTGGAACATTCCCAATGGCCCTGAAAACGGCAGTCATCAGACCCCTCCTAAAAAAGAGGAGTCTGGATGCCTTGGCACTTAAAAGTTATCGGCCCATTTCAAATCTGCCTTTCATGGGTAAAATTCTAGAAAAAGTTGTCTATCAACAACTTACAGAATTTTTAATAATCAATCACTCTTTTGATATGTTCCAGTCTGGTTTTAGACCCCACCACAGCACAGAGACCGCTCTAGTGAAGGTAACAAATGACATCAGACTTAACACTGACGCAGGAAAAGTCTCAGTTCTTATCTTGTTAGATTTGAGTGCTGCTTTCGACACTGTCGATCATGGTATCCTCATTCAGAGACTTGAGGACTGGGTTGGTGTTTCTGGAACAGCCCTAAGCTGGTTTATATCCTACCTACAGGACAGAAAGTATTTTGTGGAGATCGGAAACTGTGTCTCAGACCATCTGGCCCTGACCTGCGGAGTGCCACAGGGCTCAATTCTGGGGCCTCTCCTGTTTAATATTTACATGCTGCCTCTGGGTAGGTTAATACACAGTAATAACGTGTCCTATCACAATTACGCTGACGATACTCAGGTCTATGTGTCCCTGACAGCAGGAGAACATGGACCAGTGGACTCGCTCCTTCACTGTATCCAACAGATCAGTGATTGGATGCAAAATAACTTTCTCCAGCTAAACACAGAAAAAACTGAAATTATTGTTTTCGGACCTCAGAAACAAAGAGAGAGCGTTATCTGCCACCTCCAGTCTCTCTCCCTGAAACCCTCAACTCAGGTCAGAAATCTAGGAGTAATAATGGACTCAGACTTGAATTTCAATAGCCACATATCATCTGTGACATCATCAGCTTACTTCCACCTAAGAAACATTGCTAAAATTAAAAACATTGTGTCTAAAGCAGACTTGGAGATTCTTATCCACGCATTTGTCTCCAGTCGATTGGACTACTGCAATGGCTTGTTCACAGGTCTCTCTAAACAAGCGGTAAAACAGCTGCAGTACATCCAAAATGCTGCAGCTCGAGTCCTGACTAGAACCAGGAAGTACGACCACATTAGTCCGGTCCTCAGGTCTCTGCACTGGCTTCCTGTGGCTCAGAGAATAGATTTTAAAGTAGCTTTACTTGTGTACAAGTCTCTCCATGGCCTCGCACCAGGGTACATCCGCGACATGTTGGTGCCATATGAACCAACTCGGGCTCTGAGGAGCACAGGGACTGGACTTCTGTTAGTGCCAAGAGTCGGAACTAGACATGGGGAGGCTGCGTTTCAGATTCATGCAGCTAGAGTCTGGAACCGTCTTCCCGAGAGTGTGAGACAGGCGTCTACTCTAGCAGTTTTTAAAACTGAACTGAAAACAGTTCTTTTTAGCTGTGCATACAAGTGAATGATTTTACATTTGTTTTTATCTTTAATCTTTTTAATGCGCTATGATTATTTATGATTATTTATGATTGTAATCCCTTGTGTGATTTTAATTTTTTACGGTTTTTAACTACTTGTGTGATTTTATATATCTTGTGCTCTTAATCTGTCTTTTTATGTTTACTTAAAGGCACACCGTGTAACTCTTGGCCACTAGGGGCGCTAGACCTGCAACTTTCACGTTTAGCGCCCCTAGTGGCCACAAGCAACTCAGCACTGTCGCAAAAGTCAACAAACAGTCAGCCGGTGTCTTTTGAGTGTGTATTCAGACAGCATGCACTGGTGTGTGTGTTCAAACTGTAGAGACATGCCTACAGATATTGAGAGACTCTGCTGTGGTCAGCCTCCAGACCGCTGCATTAGTAATCTACCACACATGGACTTCTATATCCTGGATGAGGGAGTTCTGCGTCTAGCTCGTGCTGCGTGGAATGACATCTTTGCAGTCGATGACATCCAGGAACCAGGTGAAGAGCAGCGCTCATACAGACATGCAGCTTACAGCACGATCCCTTTCGCGTTTCCTCTTTTTAGCCTCCTCCGAAGGTTTAAAATTTTTCCTTGCCTCAGCCATGACCAGGAGTCGAGCAGTGTGAAAAATGAGTAGCAAAAGCCTTAGCTCCATGAGTATATCAGCGCCTGTAGCCGTAAAGCAAGTCTTTCTTCCAAGTCACGTGACCTGGTGGCAGACGGTCCGTCTGCTCGAAACTTACATGGGCGGTATTTCAAGAGGGCAGCCCCGCTCGGAGCATTGCAAGTGTCAAGCGCTGTATATTGGCCCAAGTATTCATATAAAATAACTCATATGTGTCAACTCTTTAGGTCACAAAGTCCGCGGTGTGCCTTTAAATTCTAATGTTTGATGATTTATGCATGATGTTATATGGGTTGTGAGGCGCTTTGCGTTGCCTTGTGTAGGAAAGGCGCTCTATAAATAAACGTTGATTGATTGATTGATTGATTATTGTATTATCCATTAACTTAAGTAATTGATCCTGTTTAATACATCACCTCCTTCTCCTTCTATTCTGCTGTTATGTGCGCAACTGTGACTTCAACATTTCCCCATTGAGGGACAGAAACAAGTTTTATCTTATCTTAACCCTATATGCCCGCGTGCATCGGCCTCGATGCACGCGCACATGTTTTACAAATGATCAATTTACTCACGAACGGTAAAACGTAGCAACTGTCTGAAAGCCTATGCGACACTCATCTTGACGTCTGTACTTGAACGCCTCACCACAGGAGCGGCGCGCGTTCACAGCACAGACTGTGTGGTGCCATATTGACGCTGCTACGGAGGAGAGGACTTTGTTTATTGTTTGTGCGTTTTGTGACTCAAGAAGTAAGTTGCTGTAGGCCTACTGTTCCTCACACGAGTTCGGGAAGGAAGGTTTACTTATATAGTTCGTCCATATTTGTTAAACAGTGGTTTTCCTGATCTGTGTTGTTTTCAGCTAAGTAATCTAAAGATGCTACTCTATGCTAATATGACCCGTCATGTATACTTTCCTGCACCCTTGTATTAATAGTGCCATTTCAGTCACCTCTGTTCGTGTTTTACACCATTTAGTTACATATTTATGTTAACCTCACATAGACCTTAAAGGGTACCTATGTTGTACTTTATGTTATCATTTTTCCTGATTTATTGTAGCTCCTATTAGTCCAAATACATTGACTATTTATCGTTTATTATGTTATTCATTATATAATTATTATTAATACTGTTTTTTCTTTGTCCCTTTCTGTTTCCATAGTCACATACACACACAATGTACAAATTGTGACAAATTGACAACCCTGCATTAAAGCTGAGTGAAGATTCTCTGACCGGAGTCTGTCTGTAGTGTCCCCAAACCAGAAAGAAACCACTCCATTCTTTACATTGGTCCTTCGAGCCGGATTGGTTCCACTAGAGGCGCTATGGACTCAGCTGATCAAGATCCTCCATCCTCCAGACCCAAGAGAGACCTTCGTCTACCAGAGCATTTGGCCGAATATGATGTCGTCCTCCTTCCCTCTCAGCAGCCCGCTGCCCAAGTCTCCTCACTTCCAGTAGGACAACCCGGCAAGCGTAAGTCTTCCAGAACCGGGAGTGCGTCAGGATATCAGTCATCTACAAGTTCACGACGGTCTTCTCATTTATCCCTGGGGAGTCAACTACTGAAGAATATGCCAGATGTTAAAGCAGCTGCGCTGGAAGAGCAGATCAGAGTTATGGAGCTTGCAGACCTGCAGCAGGAGATAGAAGAGGAGAGAGAAGCCGATTTGGAAGCCAAGAAGTTGGAGGAACAAGTTAAAGAAGGACAACGGATGCAAGAGGAAGCATACCTTGCCAAGGAAAGGATGGCCAAGGAGATGGGACGGCGCAGACGCCTGAAGAAGTTGGAGAAGGAAATTAAGATTGCCAGTGCTGTAAAGTGCTTTCTATCCGAATCAGAGGATGAAGCAAAAGGTAAAGTGCCGATCCCACCCTTTTCTGATGGGATTATGTCTCTGACATCCACTCCTAGACCGTCTCTTCCACCTTCCCATGTTGCTCAGCATCCAGCACAGCCACAGCAGCACCCAGATCAGGTACAGTCCCTTCTTACTCTTCCTGTTGCTCAGACGTTTACAACCGCCAATGCTAGTGCTTGGCTGCCACCCAATATACCGGTGTCTACCTATACTCCTCCCACGGTACCCCCTCCTATATCTGCTGTACCTATTAGCCAACCTATCCCTGCCGCAACAGTGCCACTAATGAGGCCTCCTGCTGTCACTTCCGTCAGTCAGCCCCAACGCCCGGAGCCAACAGCTGCAAGCATCGGGAGCATAGTCCCATTTCCAGCTGTTGGAGCTGTTCCCCCACCTCCAGTTGTGCAATACACAGCACCTATAATTCCAGATGGGAATCGAGGTCCGCCAGCACAACCATGGTCATATCCTGGCATAGATACCTTGATTGCCTCGTCCTATGGCATCCCCAAGCCAGCACTTCCTGCTTTCGAAAGTGGGCGAGAAAGTGATTTCGCTCTACTTAAGATGGCACTGGACAATCTGATGAACAGCCACTCTCACCTCAGCGAGCATTATAAGTATCAAGTTCTCCTGAGTCAGCTTAAACTTCCCAGTGCATTGCAGCTAGCCAAGTCATACATGTATGATCCCAGACCTTACACTGCAGCACTAGGTGCCCTTCAAGACAAGTATGGCCAACCTAGACAGCTGGTCCAAAGTGAGCTAGGCTCAATACTCAACTCACCAGCCATTAAGTCGGGAGATGCCGAAGCTTTTGACTCCTTCGCCCTCTCAGTCCAGTCTCTGGTTGGTATGTTACGCACCCTAGAGGGAACCGTCGGATATGAGCTCAGGTGTGGCTCCCATGTCGACCGCCTTTTAAGTAAGATGTCCCCGGCCCACAGAGATGGATTCGTGGAGTACTGTCTTTGTCGAGGCATCTTGCAGCCAGGTACGGATATAACCTACACTCTGCCCGACCTTGCAGCCTGGCTACAGATGAAAGCTCAAGCTAAACGCCTGGCCAGTCGGGCCACTCATCTCTACAATCCTGGGCCTCTTCCATCCAAGAGGGAACAACATGGTTCAAAGTGCAAAGACAGAGCTGCTTCAGTCTTCCTGTGCTCTGAGACAACCAAAGACAGGCCGACCACTCCACAGAAGCCACAAGCTTCAAAGTTTACACCATACTGCCCATTCTGCTATAATAAAGAACACTATCTCAATTCTTGTCTTGAGTTTAAGAAACTGAATTTGAGCGAGATCAAGAAGTGGATCCAGGAGGGTGATAGATGTTTCAAGTGTGGTCGCAATCATAAGGCTGCAGCGTGTACCCTCAAACGCCCTTGTAAGACATGTAAAGAGACCCACCTTACAGTTCTGCATGACGTCATCCAAGAGTTATCCCAGAGAGTCCTTACGGTGAGTCATCGGGAACCCACGGTCTACATTGAACAGCCCAGAAGCCCTCAGAGAGTCCTGTTGAAGATCGTTAAAGTGCTCTTACAACATGGAAACCGCACTTTGGAGACGTTTGCAGTACTCGACGATGGCTCTGAAAGGTCGATTCTACTCCCACATGCTGTAGAGCAGCTTCAACTCATTAAGCATCCTGAAACTCTGCACCTGAGGACTGTCCAACAAGAAGTGAAGGAGCTACATGGTTCTTCTGTCAGTTTCCACGTCTCACCCATCTTCAAGCCAAACAAGAGGTATCGCATTGACAACGCTTTTACATCCAACAGTCTGAGCTTATCCGAGCACACTTACCCTGTAGCAGATCTCCAGAAGCGCTTTGAGCATCTCAGAAGGCTTCCGTTGTCGCCGATCCACAGAGCGCAACCACTGCTACTCATTGGTTCAGATATGCCACATCTCCTTACCCCAACTCAGCCCGTGCGCACTGGTCCCTCTGGTGGTCCAATAGCCATCTGCACCAGACTAGGCTGGTCACTTCAAGGTCCGTCAGAGATTGCGGCAGTCTCATCCCATCATTCTTGTTTGCACATTGCCACAGAGTCCCCCTACTCTGTACTTATGAAGAATGTGGAGCGCCTTTGGCAGATTGATACACTCCCTTATATCAGCGAGAAGATGGCGTCTCGTTCCAAACAAGACCAACAAGCAGTTACTCTTCTGCAGACTACCTCTGAACGTGTATCTATCGACGGCATCCAACGCTATGCTACTCCACTCTTATGCCGTCAATCCAGCACTACCCTTCTGGCACCCCCAGACGCTGCGATGCCCAGCCTACGCAGAATTGAACGCCGATTGGCCAAAGATCCTGCACGAGCAGCCTCCTACCGCAAAGAGATGGATAAACTTGTACAGGCTGGCTATGTCGCTGAGACCCCCTCCGACATAGTATCAAAGTCCACAGAGTCGTGGTACGTACCGCATCACATGGTGCACCACAACGGAAAGGACAGGGTCGTCTTTAACTGCTCCTTCTCTTACCAAGGCCAGTCCCTCAACGACAATCTTCTTCCTGGGCCTACGCTGGGTCCTACCATGATTGGGGTCCTGCTCCGATTCCGTCGCCATGCTGTTGCCATAAGTGGGGATATCAAGGGGATGTTCCACCAGATTCGCTTACTGCCCTGCGACAAACCACTTCTCAGATTTCTCTGGCGGGATATGGAAGTTACGTCTGAACCACGGATCTTCGAGTGGCAAGTGTTGCCTTTCGGGACAACCTGCAGCCCCTGTTGCGCCGTCTACGCCCTGCAGCAGCATGTGAGAGACCATGAGCCACCAGACTCGCTCCTTATGCAAGTGATTGAGCATTCATTTTACGTTGACAACTGCCTTCATAGTATGAGTCAGGTTGAAGAGGCCAAGGCCCTGATTGACCATCTCCGAGCACTTCTGATCAAAGGTGGTTTTGAGATCCGTCAGTGGGCAAGCAACGTGCCCGAAGTTGTGGCACACCTACCTCCCGAAGCCCAGTCAGCTAGCAGTGAGCTGTGGCTATCCAAAGCCAGCGATAACCTCGACGAACCTGCTCTCGGGCTCACCTGGGATTGTTTGGACGATACATTGAGCTACAATCATCAGGCCGCTGACACCACACCGGCCACACTCAGACATGTCTACAGTGTTCTCGCCAAGCTCTACGACCCACTCGGTTACATCGTACCATTCACTACCAGATGTAAGGTGCTTATCCAGGACATGTGGAAGTCCAACATTGGCTGGGATGACCAGATACAGCCCACAGACCTCCTGGACAAGTGGTTGAGCTGGGTACAAGAGATCCCCGCTTTACGGCACTTCAAGTTACCACGCTGTTATGCTCCAGGTTCTGTCGATTCGGCCACTGCTACTGTGCATGTTCACATCTTCTGCGACGCATCTGAGCGTGCATATGGGTCGGTTGCTTACATGCAGACAGTGGATCCCAATCAGCACAATCACCTGTCGTTTGTGTTCGCCAGATCACGAGTCGCACCCAAGAAGCAGCTGTCCATCCCACGTCTTGAACTAAGTGCTGCCCTTACCGGTGCTCAGCTTGCCAGAGTGATTGAGACAGAGCTTGCCATCCCACCTGAGCATATCACTCTCTGGTCGGACTCCACAACCGTGCTGCATTGGATTAAGTCAGAGTCCTGCCGTTATAAGGTGTTTGTGGGGACCCGTGTCACAGAGATCCAGAACCTGACGGACCCCTCGCAGTGGCGCTACGTTAACACGGAGAGCAATCCTGCGGATGACATTACCCGTGGACTCAGTCTGCAGGATATGATACAAGAACATCGCTGGAACAAAGGTCCACACTTTCTGTACCTGCCAGAAGCTGAGTGGCCCACCATGCCGTCCTCATCTGAAGTGGAATATGATGCAGCGGAGTTGAAGAAATCTGCTTTTATCGGCGTAGTGTCCACTACTCAATCTTCGCAGCTTCCTGACCCTACCCAGTGCTCCACCTGGAAGCAGCTTCTTCAAGAGGCAGCTACCTCTCTTCACGGGGCGGCTGATGCAAGCTCCCCTTCAGCATGCTCAGCAGATAACTTTCTACAAGCGGAGAAGTTGCTGTTGCAGAAGGCTCAAGAAGACTGTTTTCCCGAAGAAATAAAGGCCCTAAAAGCTGGTCGTTCCCTCCCATTGGACAGCCGTCTTGCCTCTCTTTCACCAGAATATGAGGAGGCCACAGGACTATTGAGAGTTGGTGGAAGGTTGCGGCACGCCACAGGGCTGGATCTGGATACCATCCATCCTATCATCTTGGACCCGAAACACTCTGTGACCCAGCTTGTCATCAAGGACACAGACAATTCGTTGCTACATCCAGGTCCGGAACGAGTTCTTGCTGAACTTCGTCGCCGCTTCTGGATTGTACGAGGAAGAGAGGCCATAAGGAAGCACCAGCATTCGTGTGTTGAATGTCAACGATGGAAAGCCAAGCCCGATGTTCCCAAGATGGCTGACTATCCACCCCCTCGACTTCGTCTCCACAAGCCTCCCTTTTACTCGACAGGAGTCGATTGTTTTGGGCCGTTTCGAGTCAAAATTGGCCGCCGCACCGAAAAGAGATGGGGAATAGTCTATAAGTGCCTGACGACGCGCTCGGTACATTTGGATCTACTGGAGAGTCTTGACACAGATGCTTTCTTGCTGTCATTGAGAAGATTTATTGCACGACGTGGCAAGCCGTTCGAACTCCTTATGGACAACGGTACCAATTTCGTTGGTGGAGAGCGCGAACTGCGAGAAGCGGTTGCTTCAATGGCTTCACAATTGAAGACACAACTTTCAGAACATCAGATATTCTTCAGGTTCAATCCTCCAAGCGCTCCGCACTTTGGTGGCACTTGGGAGAGGGAGGTGAAGTCTGTCAAGATGGCCCTCAGAGTCGTGCTCAAAGACCAGACTGTTCCTGAACCTGTTCTTATGACGACGCTGGTGGAAGTTGAAGGCATAATGAACTCTAAACCCTTAGGTTACCTATCTTCGGACGCTTCAGATCCAGACCCAGTCACCCCTAACCTGCTCCTTATGGGTCGCCACGACGCATCTCTACCGCAAGCAGTTTATGACCCCGGTGATCTGGGAAGAAGGCGCTGGAGACACAGCCAAGCTCTTGCTGACCACTTCTGGTTATCTTTCACCCGACATTACCTACCAGGTCTCCAAGAGCGTAGCAAGTGGCGAAAGGATGGGAAAGCCCTTTCAGTCGGTCAAGTCGTACTAATAGTGGATCCTCAACTTCCTCGAGCATCGTGGCCAGTCGGACGGATTACTCAGATACACCCAGGAGCAGATGGACGTGTCCGAACAGCCAGCGTTCAAGTCAAAAGCCGCACCTTCCTTCGTCCGGTAGCCCGACTCATCCTGCTCCCACCTCTTGGAGATACAGACGATGAGGACATCTAGACATAGGCTTTCTTCTTGTTTTATCAACTGCCACGTGGACAGTTGGGGGCGGCTGTGTCTGAAAGCCTATGCGACACTCATCTTGACGTCTGTACTTGAACGCCTCACCACAGGAGCGGCGCGCGTTCACAGCACAGACTGTGTGGTGCCATATTGACGCTGCTACGGAGGAGAGGACTTTGTTTATTGTTTGTGCGTTTTGTGACTCAAGAAGTAAGTTGCTGTAGGCCTACTGTTCCTCACACGAGTTCGGGAAGGAAGGTTTACTTATATAGTTCGTCCATATTTGTTAAACAGTGGTTTTCCTGATCTGTGTTGTTTTCAGCTAAGTAATCTAAAGATGCTACTCTATGCTAATATGACCCGTCATGTATACTTTCCTGCACCCTTGTATTAATAGTGCCATTTCAGTCACCTCTGTTCGTGTTTTACACCATTTAGTTACATATTTATGTTAACCTCACATAGACCTTAAAGGGTACCTATGTTGTACTTTATGTTATCATTTTTCCTGATTTATTGTAGCTCCTATTAGTCCAAATACATTGACTATTTATCGTTTATTATGTTATTCAT